CCCGAGTTCTGGTTGCACACTGGAGACTGAGTGCTGAACAACAGGAACGTTTTGTTCTGTTTGAGCAAACATGATTCCTGTTATTTTCAGGTGGTGGTTCTGTAGAAGGTCCGGGTGGAGGTGGAGGCCCGGTGGACCTGAGAACCGAGCCCAGGGTTGTGGGGTCTCTGTCCGGCAGTGCGGGGGTGGACACAGCCCTCAGAGAGCAGCAGCTTCAGCAGGAACTGGTGCTCCTCAAACAGCAGCAGGAGCTCCAGAAACAGCTGCTGTTCGCCGAGTTTCAGAAGAAACACGAAGTGCTGACGAGACAACACGAGGTCCAGCTGCAGGAACATTTAAAGGTAAGCTGAGTCACTTCTGAACTGCTTTATTGACCCACAGCTCCTCAGAAAGAGTCAATAACCTGATCCTGAACGGGTGTGTGTGAAAGCAACAACAGGAGCTGCTGGCAGCAAAGAGGCAGCAGGAGTTGGAGCAGAAGAGGAAGCTGGAGCAACAACGGCATGAAGAGCAGGAGAAACAGAGGCTGGAGCAACAACTGCTGCTGCTCAGGAACAAGGAGAAGGGCAAAGAGAGTGAGTTGTTCTGCTGCTGAGTTCTTAGCGTGAAGACAGAGGCATGTCCTGACTGCTGTCTGCTCGTCTCTGTCTCCTGGAAGGTGCCATCGCCAGCACAGAGGTGAAGCTGAAGCTGCAGGAGTTTCTTCTCAGTAAAAAAGAACCTGGACCTGTTGGACTGAACCATTCCTTCTCTCCAAAGTGCTGGTGAGGATTACTCAGGATGAGCTTTTTGTTCCAGTTTTATCATTTGGATGAAACTGGAACAAAATCAAAACATTCAAGTATTTTTCAGCTGTGTATTAAATTAATAATAATAATAAGGAGATGATGAAGAATGATGAAGCTTCATCATTCTTCATCCAAATGATGAAACTTGAAGACCAATCCTGTTTTGCCTCTCTTCTCTTAAACCTTTATTTGTTTTACTGGTTAAGCAGTCTGTAAGAACTGAAACATCTGTTTCACTGCTCCCTTTATTCATGTTCCTGTCAAGATCCTTGTTTTTGTCTTTACCAACACATTGGAAACAGGAATCAGTCAATACTTATTCACTGTTCAATACTGGCATTTCTTTGTCTTTTTTAAGCCCAGGCTTGCAGATGTCAGACCACAAGTACTTTCAAGTTATTAAAAACACCTCCATCTTGTGCTCCACACCTTAGTAAATCTACATTATAGGAAATAAAACCTTTGCTCTGTGCTGGGCACAGTTACACTCTTCTGCTAAGCTGCTAATAGAGGAAATAATATTTTGCTGAGGTGTTTAGCATTTGCATTAATTATATAATGTACTAACAGATTTTACTCCTGCTGTAATATTTTCAGCTTAAAATCATAAAATTCACATCACCACTTCCCTACTACCGGTAATTTCAATATTTCCTTATACATGCACCAATGACAGACTTAACAAAGCTAGAGGTGGGTGTATCGGTCCAAGTATCGATACTATTGATACCAAGATGAGTATTGTATCGGATCGATACTAGCTTGAYGAGTTTTATTATGAATTTGTTCAGACGTTGTTTGTACTTCTGACTTTTTTTTTCCATAAATAAAGGCGGTAGYGCAGAGTCTCTAAATTGTTTGTAGTTAGTCACAAGTCCTCTACAGCAGTAGGGTTGGGCGATAATGGCAAAAAAATTAATCACGATTAATTGTGRTATTTAGCCGATAACGATTAATTTGACGATTAATCCCCTGGAGTCCCTGGTCACCCTTATGTCCTGGTAACTTGACCAATTTAGTGGGAAAGATTTTGTCTTTGTAAATATCTTTTTTCAAACTGTGTGAAAATCACAGACTTCAGGCTATACTTTAAATTTTAAATTGTGTTGATAAATAAGTTACAGAACTTTTGTTTAAATGTTCGTCATATTTGAAGHGGAGAGGAGCACCGAGCAGACTGACCGGGGAAATCTCCAGTCAGTCTGCCTGGTGGCATTAATCCTATTAATCGTCAAATGCTAAAAAATAATCGATTAATGTTTTTCTGACGATTAATTGCAGACGATACGATTATGCCCAACCCCATACAGCAGTTGTTCCCAACCTTTTTAAACTTGTTTACCCCTGAGCCATTTGGTCATACCACTAGTACCCACTCTGTCAAACAAAATGATGATTCTCCAAAACTATGATGTACTACAACTGATTGTTAAATGAAAAGTATTTATTTAACCTCCTTAACTTGAACATTTAATTCTCAGGCAAATTATTTTTTTCAGCTCAAATTAAACATAAAGGTAAATATGTTGCCTTGAAAGTGAATATGTAATTAAATAAATAAGTACAAAAATAGTAATAAACTTGCCTTTATTATGACAAAAAACTGTAGCTCAACTGAATAAGTCCCCTCTAAAGAGGAACTTAAACTTAAAAAAGCAGGAATGAAACACTTGACAAAAATAATATTCACTGGCTGTATCAGTTTTACTTTGTTGTCATCCTTCAGCTGAGCTTGAGTGAAACACGTGAGCTGTTTGTCTTTGATAAGCTCTGAACTGAAGGCAGTGTGGGAAAAGCTGTGTTCTCCACATCCAGTTTACTGGATTGATTGTGCTTTTTTTTTCCCTCTTTTGGTTGTTAAAAACTTGGCTTATTTTGCATTTAAGTCTTCATAAAGCATAACATATCTAGAGCTCTATAAGAACCGTTTGTTTTTTTCACCCAAATTTTACTTTTATTTTTATAAATTCCACTTTTAAATTTTTTTTTCTGAATTCCACATTTTCATTGTAACCATAAAGTGTGCAGTTATAAAGTGATTTTAACAAATGAATAGCCACAAAATTAAAATCAATGGCTGTTATTTCATTGTCACAAATATAGACCTCCCCCTACCATGTTTACAGTGCTTTATCAAAAAAAAAAAGAAGAAAAAAACGAACAGTGTTTTCATTTTCTCTAAAGAAATATCTGATTCTGCACACACAGTAACAAAACAGGCCTTACTTGTGAGTGTTGAGTTTGCAGGTGTGTGTCTCGCTCTGCTGTTTCTGATGTGACTCAGACAGGAAGTGCTCCTCACATGTAGGCCCTATTCTTATGCATCCAGCTGATCTTGTGCTGACAAAACGTACAGAAAAGTTGTTCTCCAGATAAATAATCGCTGGTGTACTGTTCTGCCCTAAACTTTACGCTAAGCTTCATACTTTTGGAGGACAGAGTTTCAGCGAGACGGCAGGTACAGGAAGCGGCAGCGTCCAAAATACCTCAGGAACTCGCCCAAATGAGCAAATTATGTGAGATCCTGAGTTTTATACTGGATTCTGTTTTGTTTTGTTAATTCCGCAATTCTGTCTGCATTTTCCTGATCGTGTAAATCATAGGGCCCTACATATCCCAGTCCTATTTTTATTTAGGTTTTTACACACCTGGGAAACTTTTCCATGTACCCCGTGTAATATGCTCCCTGTTTGGGAATCACTGCTCTACATCATGCAATGGAAAGTATTTGTTGTTATGCTATTGACATTGTTGTATTTTTGTTGCATTTTTGCTTTTTTTGATATTTTTCACTAGTGCTTTTTTTAAATTTCCTAAACAGTTGAGTTTAGCAGAAGGTTTTAGTAGGGTTGGGCAATATTGGCAAAATTAATCACGATTAATTGTGGTATTTAGCTGATAACAATTAATTTGACGATTAATCCCCTGGAGTCCCTGGACACCCTTATATCGTAGTCACATGACCAATTTAGTGGGAAAGATTTGCTCTTTGTAAAAAATGGTTCCTAATTGTGTGAAAATTACAGATTTCAGGCTATACATATTTTAAATTGTGTTGATAGATAAATAAATTACAGAACTTTATTTTTAATGTTCATCATAGTTGAAGCGGAGAGGAGCAGCGAGCGGACTGACCAGAGTAATCCCCAGTCAGTCTGCCTGGTGGCATTAATCGTATTAATCGTCAAATGCCAAAAAAGTAATCGATTAATGTTTTTCTGACGATTAATTGCACACGATACGATCATGCCCAACCCTAGGTTTTAGTAGAATAATTTAATTGTTTTTATATTGTTACATCATTTTATTTCATAGTAGTTAGTTCATACAAAACGTTTTTGTTTGCCTACAGTCGTTGTCCTGTGTTTTATCTTGATTGACTAACTAAAGGCAAAATCACATAATTATTCAATGAACATAACAAGTATCGGTATAAGAATTGTTGAAACTAGCCCTGTATTTACTTTGTATTGGATCTATACCAAAATTCTCAGTATTGCTCACCCCTAAACCAAGCTATTCTAAGCAAAGCAGACCAGAGTCACACAGTGACATCATCTCATTTGGAGTCACCTCTTTTATACAGACCTGACTCACAGTTTCAGTTTTCCCAGCATCCTTAGAAGCATGGATGTAATAAGGAGGGGGGAGAATACTGCTCATTTTGAGAGTCTTTTGTACAGAAAGTCTTTTTACAAACACAATGACAAAAATGGTGTTGGTAGAAAACGACTTCTGGGTTTTAACCTTTGTGTGTTTGTGTCTGTAGGGGGGCCCAGCACACCTCTCAGGAGCAGGGCTCTCCCCCACAGAGTAACACCCCCGGAACCCCGCCCTCCTATAAACTGCCTCCCCTGCTAGGGAACTACGAGGGCAAAGATGACTTTCCGCTCCGAAAGACAGGTGAGGAAGAGTTCTGTGTTGAAATGAAATGATACGACAGCTGCAGTCAGARCAGAACAACTGACTTATTAAAACTCTCATCAGCCTTTGACTCACTGTCAAAACTGTGGTCATATAATAAAGAGGCATGAACAGTTATTATTTTGCCTGTTATATGTATCTTTTTGAACAACCTTTATTTGGAGAAACAGAGTTTAATTCAGACAGAGTAATAATGAGCCAAACACAAAGTGGATCGATAATCTTAAAGTCCTCCTTTTTCTGTTTTTAAATCAAATCAAATTAAAGATTTTGTCTGCAGGAGCTCTGATATCTCCATAATTTCAGAACATTCCTGTGAACACTAATTTAACAATTTTTACATCTTAAACAATTTGACTTTACCCTCTTATATACAGGAGGTGGGAATCTTTAGGCACCTCATGCTTTAATTCAACTACTGTTCAGATGACTGTGATGTGATTATAGAATAATGATTATTGCATTTAAATTATATTGAAACTTAAAAGACTGGCTTATTTTACATAAATAAATACTGTTATGTACATGTTCATTCCTAGTAATAAGTGCACAGTAAGATGAGAAATAGCCCTAATTGTCACAGACTGCTGACCAGCTCTTTACAGAGATGCTAACTTCACAATGAAAATGCTAAAAAAAAAGCTCAATGCTAATGTTATTAGCATTGTTTTTATCTTTAACAATGTATACACAAATCAAACATTTCAAAGTCATAACTTCAACCATTGCATTCTGACAGACACTCTAAAGGAGTGGAGAAAAGATGATAAAGATGTGGAATGTTTTATTGCATGTTTATGCTACAGGAAGCTACGGTGGCTCTACTGGGACAAACATACATCACACAACAAATTAAATGAACAAATAAAGTAACTATAATTAAATCAAATGAAAAGGGTAAACAAAAGACCCTGTTCACAATTTGTGCAAAGATTTAGAAGGAAAATATGAGTCTGATTTTACCTCATAAGGTCCTCTGCTGATAAACTCAATCCTCACTGTGTCAGAATGGATGTCAGCAGGATCAACGGGCTGCTTTGATGTCAACCTGAGAGGCACTACTAGCCCCTCCCCCATCAGAGTGTCAGAGCAGGATGAGTCAGTGCAACGTCAATCAAATGAAAGAGAGGGTGGGGGCGATTGTTGCATTGGAGGACGGGGGAATGTTTTATGGGTAGTTTATTTTTCCTGTAATACTTCATTGTAGTTTTTTTTAAGCCAAAGCTAATTGAAAGGGGHGCTGAGCAGAGTTACAACCAGGGATTACAAATAATTACTTTTTTTTCTGCAGTTTGACGCCCCCTCCAGCAGATGGCGCTCTAGGCGACCGCCTAGTTCGCCTATGCCAAGAGCTGGCTCTGCAAACAGAACTCTGCTGACCCTTTGAGCAGCAGCACAGTTTAATAACATAATCAATTTCTGCCATTAGAAAATCGGACCATATCTGTTGATGAGATGCATCTAAAAATAGATTTTACCCGGCAGCAGCTAGCTGTGATGCAGTGCAGAAATATCTTAACATTTCATCTGAAACTGTGGGAGGAGAAATTATTGGAGATGTTTAAATATCAACATTTGAGTGAAGAGCAGTGAAATGTTGAAGGTAGGTGTTTGTTTAGGTTGGCAGCCATCCACTTTAGAAATGTGCCTGCTCACACTGGCTGCTGCCAGAGCCTCCAAAACAAATCTTACTATTTAAAAGCAAATCCAGTCTGAAACATTTCAGAGCAGTTAATGCAGACATTGATCATTTTTTAGACTCATCAATTTGGCCTTATGCTTTTATGTTGGCAGAAATATTAATAAATTCTGCCACAACCCCTCACTTCTACACATACAAACAATAAAACTTAGTGTAAATAATCATGAACTCACACCATGACAGGAGGAGATGGAAATATTGGACTCTGATCGTGGTTTTAAATGTCTGAGTTAAACTGTGAGGAGCGTTTGTTATGGTGACCACAGCCTGAAGGAATCTGCATGCAGGTCATGTGATCAGTTTATCCGCCTCTCTCTGACCCGTTCAGTCTCAGAGCCCAACCTGAAAGTGCGCTCTCGGTTGAAGCAGAAGGTGGCAGAGAGGCGCAGCTCGCCGCTGCTCCGCAGGAAGGATGGAACCGTCATCAGCACCTTCAAGAAACGGGCCATTGAGATATCAGGTAAACACTGATTTAATTTGTTATTGTTGCCACTAAAAAGCAGGATTTTATTTTAGCTGGTGTCTGAAGCCACGCTCACACTGCAGACAAAAGGGACCCAAATCCAATCCCACCCCCCCAATATCTGACTTTTTATGACATTCTGAAAGAGACAAATGCAGTTTTTTTTTCTAATCTGACCCAAGTCTTCTTCTTTAGCCTTAATTCAGATCCATATCTGATGTTTTTCAAAGTAACCTCAGCCTGAACAGTCATGTCTCAGTGAAGTAGAGGGGTACGGGTCATTCCAGATGTTGATGTTATTGATACCAACATCCTGCCGTTTAGCTCAGAAGTCGGCTCATCTTCAGCTACAGAACAGAAGTCCAGCTGCTTTGTCTTTTTGAAACTTTCTACATTTGTCCTGATGACTGAGACACCAACATATGATGCTGACAGTGATACCAACAGGTCAGATCAGATCCAGATTTGAGTTTGTTTCTACTTTCAGTCATTCTAGAAGTGACATCCTGAACCTGAGCAGAAAGAAAGCAGAAGACCAAATGGAAACACTGGACCAAACAATCAAATTTATATATAATTGGGTTGTTTTGGTTGGACAACAGCTTCAGAATGGATCAACACATGCTAACATGCGGCATCCATATTTCCTTCTGTAAACACAGCTTGCTGCRTGTGACGTCACGTCTTCTTCTGCTTCCATGGACTGTTGGAGTCTGATGACGGTCCACTTTAAACCAAAATGTCAACAAGCATGAAGAAACGTCTGCTCTGAGCAACAAATCTAAATAGAGCAGTAAGACCTGCAGTGTGAAAGTAGTCAGAGTAAATGATCACTCACTGTATCAGTTATAAATCACTGTATAAATCATTCCAGAATCAATACATTTTACTGATATTGAACTAAAGTTTATTGAGGTTGCATAACTTTATTTTCAAGGTTTGATCAAAACACAACTACTCTGTCATTTGTCATCAGAAGATGATCTCAGTTTAAAGCTATAGCAGTAGTTTTGTTGAACGATATGCATTTTCTGTGAGTGAGGGTGTGAGTGATTTGTCTGTTTCTCTCTCCCAGTTTCCTCCCTCTGTAACAGCGCTCCAGGATCTGGTCCTAGCAGTCCCAACAGCTCCAACACAGCCATCGCCAATGGTAACACCGGTTCTGTCCCCAACATACAGACTGAGGTACAGAATAAGTTCTGCTGATTTACAAACTGTTCAGATTTCATTCTGAACACATAACTCCAGTATTCACCCTGAAAATCATTTATAATAATAATAATAATAATAATAATAATAATAATAATAATAATAATAATAATAATAAGTAAAGACAGGTCTCATCATTTTACTTTAAAATTAAACACTTTAAACCTCTTTGTTTAAAAAAGTACTTTTACTAACAAAAATTGGAATAATAAATTATCATAGAAGAAACCGTGTCTGCTTGTCTTAGCTTTTTGTTTACTTATTTATTAACCATTTTTAAACCAGACAAATCCCAGATCTCTTTTGCAAGTGTGGCCTGAAGCCAGCTTGTTGTACATGTTTTTGGTCTTTGCGAGAAACTAGTTCCCAGAGAAAATCACGAGGAGAACATGTAAACTCCACACAGAAAGACCCCAGGTCCGAACCAGGGATCGAACCCCAGGACCTCCTTGCTGTGAGGCATCAGTGCTAACCACTGAGCCATCATGCTGCCGTTAATTTAACCCACATTACTGTGCAAACGTTTAAATATTTTTTCATTATTTTTATGTTTTCTTCCAAGGAGCCAAGGTTTGCTGTAACTGTTTAAAGTAATCATCATCATTAGCTGTTAAAAGTATGTTTTAAGGTCAGTTACAGTTTAAGATTTGGCTACTATTCACTCAATTTTACCACAGTTCTTGAACCTGATCATTTTTAAGATGAGTTTTTATGTTTAACTCATCTTCATGAGTATGGATGGGTACCTTTGACATTTGAATCGATTCGGTACCAATATCCGGTACATGGGAATCAGTACCGGTACGTAACGGTACCAATTTTTGGTACTTTGTGTGCGTTGTTTTTTAATAATAAACTTTTTTAAACATATTTCTCAATATATAAAATTTAACAAATATCAAGACAAAATCCATCTCTTTGTATTGTAACATCAGTTTTTTAAACTAATTTCTTTAAGGTGAAAACTGTTGAAAACAACAAGACTGTTTTGTCTTATTGCACAAATTAAAATCCAGCTCCAYRTATTTCTATTGATGTCATTTCCCCACTAGAAAAAATGTGTGATGGAGGTCCATGGAAGGCAAATAAGTTTAAATCAAATAAGCAAAAGAGGATGCAGTTAAAATAAATAAAATGTATTCAAGCTACGTTTTGAGCATCCAAAACGCTCTCAACACTTCCAGTTGRCTGCTTGTGCTCTTTAAGGTCAGATGTGTTCAGACTGTCAGGAAGTGCCTCTGTTATTTTCCTCTGCCGGTCTCTGTTTACTGGCAGATGAAATAAAGATAGTGGCGGTACTTTATTTACTTTGAGCAAGCGAACTTCGTGCTCACAAGATAATTAATCCACCAAATAATTCAGAGGCRATCTGTTCGACGAGTTTTAGGAGCTGCGAGGCTTTCAAGCTAYGTTCAGACTGAGCTCTGTTTACTGAACCAGCGGCTGCTGACGTCATTACACTCTTACGCGATGCTGCATTCAGGACAAGCATGGAAAATCTCCCACTCTTACGCCAATATGGTCACAATGATGTGTTTAAGTACCGAAACATGGTGCTGTTTGATGTTACGTGAATAGGTTCTCTGTAGTACCGACAGAATTCGATTGGCACTTAAAAAAGTATCGAATTCGGTACCCATCCCTATTCATGAGTCATTGAAACAGTTCACCATCAGCCTGTGAAAAATAAACAAAAGGTTGCTTTTCTTCAGGTTCTAACTTTCTCATACTTTCATTAAATAGTTTGCCTGGGTGGAAGTCTCATTTCCTTCAACTGGTTTCTCATTCAGACACTGAATATTGTTTGTTTTTGATTGTGGATTTCCTGTTTTTCAGTCTCATTGCCCTTTGTTTTCTGTCCAGATGTTTTCATGTTTTACTGTTTGTTTCATTTTTTACAACTTTTCCATTTTAACAAATACTTCCTTCAATTTTAGACCCATCTGATKGGAACAACCAGCATTCTTTCCCATTTAGTGTTTAATGAGCCTTTAGGAGGATTTTAAAATATTTTCCTTTGTTTCTGCTGATGGCTCTCTTCAATATAAACAAATACAAATATAGAAAGCTAGAAGATTCAGTCTTAAATAAAAAAGCTGATTATAAAAGTTTCAAAACTGAATAAATCCATGATTTTTACTTGATTRCGTTGGTAGAAAACGGGTAGAACTGATTGTGGTATTGATGACTCTGTTTTCTACAGTTGAGGTCTCTCCATCAGACTCTGGGGACTGAAGGAACACTGAGTCCTCTGACTCTCTACACTTCTCCCTCCCTGCCCAACATCTCTTTAGGCCTTCCTGCAAACACACACATCACAGTAAGTCACRCTCTTATCATTTACCTTCACAGGTTTATACTAATACACTGCAAAGGAAAAAAAATTGTATAGGTCCTCTGGACGGGTTCTTCTTTAATGAAACGTTTCGTCTCTCTTCCAAGAGACTTCTTCAGTCTGAGAGTTTCAGGCAAAATTCAGGCTTTTATGTCAGAAAGAAAGACCGTCCGTCATTAAACAGAGGTGGGGGCCTCCGTTTTCAGCTGTCCCCCTGCTACAGCGCTGCCATTGGC